GGTAACCTTATACAAGGGGGTCATACACTCATTATATAGATATGGGGTTTCTTCCCATAGCCATTCGTTCGTCATACTCATCAATATACACAGAATGACCCCTGCCTGTCTAACTGCTGCTCGATACGACTAATCGACGACTCGTTGAGGTTCGATGAGTTCGCAACTAAACGGTTGTGGAACCATCTCTTTTCTAAGGAGATTTTTTACGAGAAGGAGTTTGTCGTGGGCCCTGAGCAGCCTCCAAAATATCTGGAATCTCGGAGACGGGTCGACTTTATCATTGAACGGTTCGACGGCCGAGACTTCGTCTGTCAGGTCATGGTCGAGCTGAAGAAGGCCAAGTCTGGGCCTCAAGACGTCTTAGATGCGGAGCATCAGCTGTACACCGCTTGTTACGAATATTATCTGGAGAACCCCGCCCAGACACGAATGTGGACGTGCAGTATATGGGGTCCCAATGTCCGCATCTGGGCTTTCGACGCTGGGCAAGGCTTCCTGACCCCCGCACTCCCGGCCTATGGCGACACGGGGGACAAATCGTCCTACCTCGACTTTCGAACGTCGGAAGCAATTCTGATGGAATACTTCGAGAAAATCAAGCGAGATCCGCAGCTGCTTGACCAGGTATTCGAATCAGACGACAGCATGACGGACAATGTGATCTTGGAGGAGTTGGACCCAGCGAGTGTCACATTCGCCGTTGCGTTCAAACGGCGAAGCCAGGGACCGAAAATCAAGACACGAGAGGGCGTCGAAGTCAACACTGACAAGACTAGATGGGAACCAGCGCAATGCATGGTGGAGGGGACGATGGCTAAGGGCTACAAGTATGTCGGTAACTCGGGCACTGTCTATTTCTCGACGAATGTCGAAGATTGGTTCTAGTCTTCGAGTGTATTCGCTCGTGTATCCGACGAGCTTTTGTCGATTAGCTTTGTTTTAGTTTTAGTGATCACCATCTGTGTTGCTGTTGACCAAACCTCCAACGTGTCCCCGTGAGAGCAAACCGTCCATCCTCCATCGTCGCAAGTATCCTTCCCCTGTGAGCGGGAACCTCTGATCATCACCATCCGGTGATTTGGGCGCTCTTGTTGTTGAACGACCTTGAATGAGAGCTGCTCCACGGCACCACATCTTTCAGCTAGATCAACCCCTATGCGACACAGCCCCAACGCCTTTTCTGTGCCATCAAGATACTCAACTATAAGACCTCGACAGAATTGAGCTTCCTTGTCGCGGAATATCCAGACGGATTTCACACATGACAGTATAGCCATCGCATGGCATGCGTCTTGAAATGGTGGGTTTCCTGGGGCCGGGAGGGCGCCAACTGAGCAGGCATCGCCTTCTGTTAACACACCCCGAATGACGACAAGGTCGTTTCGCGCCACAACACACAAAAGAGTCGATCGCGATGTGGTGTGAACGGCATAATGTAGCCCCGGTCCAACTGGTGGTGGACCAATATAAAAGTCTCCTCTGTGGGGTGTCCTAACCTTCGGATTGTTAGCCAGACCAATCGGTTCTGTGAGGTATGAGCTTACGAAATAAGTCCGTTGATTCAATTGAAGTTTGCCTCGTGTTATCCCAATCCGAACCCCAAACGCTGAGATCTTATCTCGAGGGGGATTTGGGACATAGACCCACGACACGAACGGCTGAACCATCATCTCAATTTGTGCGAAAGTGGTATCTGCGGTTGGCGCCACGGGTGTATGAGCGTGAATCGCATGCAAGTTCCTCTTAAACAGGAAGAACGTGATTCCTGAGCAGTGATCCAGATCAACGGTGGCGAGTCGATCACCGTGCTTTGGGGACGGAAATTGAAAGCCTGCCTCTGGTGACAAATTAGGCCTGTCTGTGAGTTGGAGCGTTCCTGATTGAGGGGGCGTTGCAAGACGGCCCACACCGAACTGGGAAAAGACGTCAGAAAGGAGCGAACAATAAAGATGCAAACGATACCAACTTGAAAATTAATAACCAAGTCGTCATCAACGCTGACCGTGGTGTATACATCGAATGGGGATCGCAGTCGCGCAGTCGAACACCCGGACCTCTCTAAGCACCTAATGCCCCTTGAATCAATCGCCATCTCTATCGGGGAGGACGAGCCTGCCGGAGCTATAATCGGGAGTTTCCCTCGGTGCCAGAACTGGACTTGGCGAAGTGGTCCCGACAAGGGCGAATCAAGACCCTTGAGGTGTATGAAGTCGATAGTCTCAAGCACGCAACACAGACGCAGAAGATCATGTTGCCCCAAATGCCCCCAAATCATTGTTGTCAGTTCAGGGGGAAGCTTTGCAAGTCCGGGCATCTTGAATTCGGCGATGACGAGCGTGATGGCGCGCTTGCTGGCGCGCGTGATATCCGCGGTAGGAGGAAGCAGAAGGGCTGTGCTCCGCGGCCACGGATACCTCGCAATTGAGAATACCAGTAGTCTGTATAATTTGTCTGGAAGTTCTGTTCGCGAGCTGTAGAGGTTGAAGCAATCCCTGTGAACGGTGGCCGTATCCGCAGCCGCTGAGCACGTTCCGCAATGCGGATGCCGACAAAAGAGGTAGGTAGCACGGGTTTGTGGTGTTCCTATTGCGGCAAATGTTGATGCATCACAGGCGGTAATACGCGTTGAGGAGGCGCGCACTGAGCAGTAATCCATGTCAGCTGAAGTCATTTCGTGTGGAAGGAGTGAAGGCCTCTCACGTGCAACCAGATGATCTCCGAAGACAAATAGAAATCCGCACGCTCCGCATTGGCGATGAACACGTACGTGCTCAAATTTTACCACTTCCTGGGGCTTTTTCGGATGCGACATGATTGCAGGTGTCGTACCAAGGAAGAGGTAAGATGATAGAGTATGGAGCGATAAATCCAGCGAGGCTGATATACGACCTGATTAGTCAGCGGAGTAGTATTCCACCGATACCGATGTCAATCATCGGGCGGCGAAAGCGTTAGATCCTTGAACAGGCAGAAATTAGCAGCGCCACAACCCGATTCGTAAAATTATTTGGCGCCATGTACTCGTCGTGAACCCCAAAAGGGGTCACGCAGTCATGATGGAAACCCATGGCCTCAAGAGCAATTATGGCCACTCCACCGCGGAGTTCGCAGACCCTTAGACAGCAGTCAAATCGATTAACACCGTAAACTCCCTCAACCCGCATGCCGGGGGAGCCGCGCGCATCCCACGAACATCTTCGGCCGCCTGGGCTCGGCCAAGGCCCTTTGATCGGCCGTTCATGCGGCCGTCCTGCGGGGTCGGGCCGACAAGAATGCGTGCACGCTCGGGGAAGGCGCCAATTGAGTTTGCGACAAGAATGCTTTTCGCAAACTATCCAATCATATGCTCTGTTTAAAGCAGGAGAAAGGAAGGGGCAGATCTCCACGCTTCAGCTGTCCACTCCGCACGCAGGAAGGAGAACCCGACGCCACAATCCCCGCCAGACCACCAAGCCAACGTCCGATCTTGATGAGCTGAAAGACCTTCTCACCGGACTTTATGCTGAACTACAGAAAATACAGGAAGAGGTTTCGCGAAAATCTGAGCAGCCAACTCAAGAGACTTTACCTGCCGATGCCGCATCGCCGAGCTCAGCGCTCTCTTCCCCGCCGTCGTCTGTCGTGCCGGACGAACACTCGGACCCACCCGTGGACCATCCGGCGCCCTCACCGTGAGTGGTCGCTCTGCCCACCAACCAGGAGACCGTCCCCAGTCCGCCTCCGGACGCCGGTGGACCCCGCGCAGACCTGCAGCCACCCACGGCGGCTGGCCGGGACTCCGCGGCACCATCACCACTTTCCGATCTGGGCTCCGACGTGGAATAGGCTTTGCAGCATGCGGGATCGCTCCTCGAAGCGCAGGGCGAGTCGCTGACCGACCCAATTCCGCCTGAGCCTGCACCGATCGCGACCAGGCCCAAGTTCAGCTTGACGACTGAGGAAATGGGTGTCAATTTGGTGCCGAACATCGCCAAGATGGTCAGCGACGAAGACTTCACGGGCAAGGTCCGGATCACAAATCTGCCAGAGGTTGACTGGGCCAATTTGAGGTCCAGCAGGTCCAGCATCGGGCAGCCTAAGGATCGCGACCATCTGGGAAACGTGTACACCAAAGGTCCCGATGGGTCCGGATACTCGTTCCTGAAGCTCTCGCCGTCGACCAAATTTGTCCTCCCGGACTTCTCTCAGATGCCAGAGAAGCCGTCGGAGGACGAGATCACAGCGTTTCTCGACGACATCGCCAACGACCCCCCCAAGGGGTCCATACCGTATTATGCCGGGCCGCCACTGACGTCCAGCATCGAATCGTTCCTCCACCCAGGCGACGCTCTTGCGTCCATGGAAGCCATTGCCGGCGGGAACTCGCCTTACACGTACATCGGCGCCAAGTATTCCGGCACCGGCTGGCACGATGACGACGCTCTTCTCTGGTCATGCAACTATGTCAGCTTCGGCTGGAAGCTGTGGCTCGTCGTCGCAGAACACCACAGGGCGAAGTTCGAAGCCTTCATCCGCCGACACTGGAAGGCAAACCGATGCGCGCAGTTCGTACGCCTCCTGCCACTCTTCATCGGTCCGTCAAGGCTTCACGAGGAAGGTATTGACTTCATCGTACACTGCGCTGGGCCCGGCGACATGGTCATCATCCGCCCCGGGCAGTATCATGCCGTCGTCAACTTCTCTTCGTGCTTTGCCACGGCGATCAATTTCTCGCTGCCCGGAGACTGCGTCATGCCGCCAGATCTCGCCGTTTGTAAGCAATGTGGTCTATACCCTCTGCACCGCCCGGACTTCCGCGTTGTCTCGCCCCCTCCCTTGGAACCCGTGCCAGGCGTGGAGACAGAACATGTCAGCATCGCGCAGAGGACAAAGCTCGCGAGACGACCGGCGGCGCGGCCACAGTATTTACAGCTAGCTAAGAGACCGAAAACTTCTGGATGAGGTTATCAGCCAGGTTCTGAAGATCGACAAACTCTGCCACATTCCTCGTATCGACCATAGAAACCCACCAAGCCCCGAAGTCTTGAAGCTCTCCATGGCCGTTGGCAGCCGCCCGGCGATTCAGCAATTCTGCGACCTCGTCCGCAGTAGACGGGAACCAAATAACACACGACTTTGCCTCTCCCATGGCTTGTACACCCGCATCAAAGACCGTCTTGGGGTTATTTCGGTATCTCAACGGCGAACGGCGTTCGAGAAACTCCTAGTTCGCTTGAACTAATTCCACCTTGCTTGCGAAATCAAGCAGGCCAGAGATGGCCGCATAAAAGCAGACGGTGCGGTTCTTGCCGAGATTGCTAAAAAAGCCGGCTGCTCAAAGGACACGCTAGCTTATCATCAGAAAATTGGCAACAGGTTGATGCGTCTTTGTGGTGACCGGCACCAGTTGCTGTGCCTAATCTTCCTGAACAGCAGGAATCCGTTTGGTATATCTCCGGACGCATTTAATGGGCTGGATAACGCCCAACTACAGACGCTACACGACCTACTCGACCAGCCCTACTTGATATCGATATGCTCGGCGGCAACGCTCTTCATCGTTCGCTCGACAGTTCCTCGGAAGACGTAGACTTTCGCTGGGAACATGAGTCCCTGGTCACGGCGGATCTTCCAGAGGAAAAACTGCTCTCGCTCCTCCCAAGCTATACCTTCAATCTCGGAAAATTTGTATGACCCAATCAAACACCCACATTGGGCACCTCCACTGGGCTGGCCTGACGACTATCCCTGGCCAGCTGATCCAACCGCAATTCTTCGTCCAAGCAGCAAGAAATGCGATTTATGTGATGATGTGGGCTGTAACTGCGTACGTCGATTTGTCGAGGACCAAGGTCCGCGTTGCATGCCCCGCATAACGCATTACGGTACCCTGGGCCGTGGACTGCAGGCTGTCGCTACGGAACCCGGACAAATAGCATATCGGAAAAACGAAATCATAGGGCTGCTATTTGGTGAGATCGTGCCCGCAGGGACATTCGACGATGACCACACGCTGGACTTCGTGAGACCAGACCTCCAAGAAGAACCTATCGTTTGCCAGCTTCGCTGCGCTGACGTGGGGAGCCTCTTCAGGCTGTTGAATCACTCTTGCCGTCCGTGTGCTCATCTCGTTCAGATGAGGATGAGTGGAAAGTTTGTCACCACTGTGCAGGCTATTCGAGACATTTTCGATGGCGCTCAAATTACCATTTCGTATGGGAAAAATTGGAAAGGGGACAATTGTCTTTGTGAAGTGTGTCGATCCTGAAGTTCGTTGCCGTGCACGGGCCGAATGTCCATACTCTTCACCTTTTGCGGCGTAGCTTTTGTCGGTTGTATAAACAAACAAGTGCCTAGAGGAAAAGCCTATTCAGTAGGCGGTTTTGGGTCAGGGAATAAAATTTCTCCTCTCAATGAATGGCATGCCAGAGCTCTTTAATAACTATAGCAATTGAACATTTGATCAACATGATAGGATGAAAGTTTAATAATACGCGAATCTCTTTTTATCATTGCAAATGAACACCTGCAAGACTGTACCGATTGCCATGATATCTCCTCCCAACAAAATTCAGGAGCGAAGGTATGCAACATCTCCCTGGCGTCCACAGAGTGAAGTCTGAGTGGCAGCGCCAGACGCTCTGAGGCCATAGGGGGCTCGTCCGCGCAGTGACCTTTCCTCCAGAAGCCGGTTCCCCATCACGCTTGCTGCTCCGAGATAAGAAGCTGTCAAGGAGAATACTTGAGCCTTGAACACATAGCTGCGTGATCGCGACCAGACGTATTGCCATGGCGATTATGACGTGTTGGACGAACTTGAGCGCTATAATCGGTTTAGTGGCACAAATTGCTATCGAAAAGTCGAAAGAGTGATCCACGAGATCGTCGAAGGACTTTGCGACGTCTAATGTATGATCAGCAGCAGTATTGAGGTCTATTTAGCTTTTTTTTGCATGGAAGGAGGGGTCCGCAGTCATAATCTTATCGTAAATCGTTTTGTCGAGGTCCTCTCCACGGTAAGAATCGAGACCGGCCAACATCCACAACGGTCTGTATTACGTATCCAAGTTAATGGCTTTTCTTCGCCCTTGCGTGTACAACAAGGAGTGGCAATTAAACCAAATTAAAAAGGGATGTAGATACAGCACACTTGGCGTCCCAGTTTCAACCACCATGAACCCAAGAATCACCCCTCCTCAGTACTTCCCCCTTTCTGTTCTTCGCTACCCACCCTGCCGCATCGGCCAAAGCGCTTGACGGAGAACTCCTCTTTGCGAGAAGGAACGAGAGAATATCGGCAGGACTATACTCCAACTCCGGAAACATAGCAGCAAACTGAAAAGATAACTGTCGAACTTCCTTATTACTCTTTTCTCTGGCCTCCGCATCAGGGAATTCCTCTTGTGACTGTTCGAACACATTGCAGAAAAGCTTTCTAGTCATATCAGCGTCGGCAAGCTGAAACTCGATTTGCGTGTCAACGCGACCTGGCCGTATTAGGGCGTCATCCAGATGCTCCCGATGATTGGTCGTCATGAAAAGGACGCGTCCCTCCTGTGAAGCTACACCGTCGAGGACGTTGAGGAGTCCAGACAGGGAGAGAGTTGCCGGTGGCTTTGATGGGCTGCGTGACACTTCCGATCCCGAGTCAGACTCATCTGCATCGGTGTTCCGGGCTTGGGTTGTGCCGACTGCGTCGACATCCTCAAGCAGGACGACACAGCGTTGCGGAAGCTCGGCGAACAAGGTGCTCAGACGCCCGTCATTGATTCCAGCAAGGCTGAGGACGTAGATATCCAGTCCGAAGCAGCCCGCGACAGACATGCTGATACTGGATTTTCCGGTCCCAGGTGGGCCGTACAGTAGGTATCCCCTCCGATATGGCAGACCGCGATTAGCGTACCACGAACGCGCCGTAGGATTGAGAAAGTAGCGAATGTCTTCAAGGAGCATCTGCTTTATCTCTTTGTTCATGACGACAGTTTCCATTGGTCTGATGTCTCGGGTCATGGTTCTTTTCCAGCCGTTGTTATGGTGCTCGAAGATCGAGGTTTTGTTCTCCGAAAGCCTCAGGTATTCCAAGCGACACTCGTCCATGAGGTCTCGCAGGATCTGGGACGAACGGCCAAAGCAGGAGACCGTCATCGTCTTGCGCAGGAAGAAGGCCGATTCGTTCTGCGTGCATTGCAGACTGAGAAGGTGCCCCTTATATCAGAAAGACTGCCGCTCTCTCCAAGGGGTGAACCGAAGAGGCTTTTTGGCTGCAGTATCACAGCTGGGTTGAACTAGGGCTCGTCCTCGCCGGCTCTCAACACTGACAAGGGACGAGCATGCGTTCTTAGCAAAGTCCTGCGCAGAGATCCAACATTCGAGCATGTCGTATGCCTCGTCAGGGTCGTGGACATCGGTCTTCGAAGCTGCGGATGTTAAGGCCTTATTAGAGGATTGAGGGAGAAGGGTTACAAACTGAAGTAAGTGTCCACGAATCCTCCAATGGTCCGGCCCAGGAACTTACCACAGACCATCACCAGTCCGCAGATGCACAACAGACCGGCATAGCTATCCAGGTTTCCATTGAGAAGCTGATGGAGCGCAGCCGTGACGCCAGTGAAGCCGGGGAAGAAGATGTCCATGATGGAGACTTGGTGAGAAGTCGGGTGGCTCGGAGGTTGCATTGTGGAAGAGTGTTCTGTGGACTATTCTGGGCAGCGTTGATAACACCACTTGCAGAAGCTTGAACGTCGACTGGTTTCGGACACTCACAACAGCAATGATACTGGCTGGGCACGATTGGAAAGATAGAGCTTTTAAGGGAAGAGGGGGTATGGCAGAGGGTTTTGAACTCATAGGAGCATGGCAGAATAAGTGGCATTGTTACTTAACGCCGGTCCAGGTTGGTGATGGAGACCATCCTGCCGCGCCTCTAAATATATAGTTTATACGCTGTAAGGTGTGGCTTCCAAGGCAAAGGAACGACGAGTTTACTTACACAATCTCTGTATACTGCGGTAGGCTCGTTTATCGGGACGGTGAACAGATCAAAAGCGCGACCCCACGATCAGATCGAGTATGTCTACAGGTCTGGAGATCCTAATGATCAAAGAGAAAGCAACTTACGCTTACAAAGATCTACAGATAGCGGCATGCTGTATTGTAACCCCACGCCTACTACACACTTCCAGAATCAAAGTGGCGGCCTAGAAACGGACCAGGAAGATCCTCCACCTTCAGGTCCCTCAGCTGTGTGAGGGGTGTTCCCAATAACGTGATAGCAGCACTACGTTCTTTTGCACGCAATCATGCATCTAAAAATGGTAAGGGTCATCACGCAACTGTGATCAACAGCCGAGCTCACATAAGTGGGGTACGTCAACAGGCAAGGGTTATCACGTCTGCGTGATCGAGCGAAGCATAATGTCGAAAACCTGTATCCAGCCTGATGTGTTGGCCTGGTTAGCTCTGAAAATGAACGCTTAGACGTCAACATCGGTAACGAACCAAGAATAAATGTTGATTGCGATGCCATGTCTCACTCTAAAGAAGGTGCTTGTGCTTTGCAACCACAACCTCATCATAGCTCAGTCATCCATACTCGGGTCAGTAAACGCCCAAAAAATAATCTAATAAGCACTTGAAATTTGGTTCAACCATTAGTCAGTCAGCGGCCCACTCAGCCTCCTCTCTATAGAAGCGGCATATGGGTCATACTGCCAGGTAAGACTATCAGAATATGGATATGTCAGGCACAATGATTACATATCCAGGGTATGCATATAACACATATATCTCCAAAAATTCTGACGTCGAAATCCAGGAAGAGCACCCCGACTTTTCTTTACCGACTCTTCTTTCCCACAATCATCATCATTATGGATTGATCAATACATATGCTCGTTCAATTCTCTTCCATGTTGACTGTCTTGTACATACACACTCTTGTGACACGTTCGCTGTCTTCTACTCGTTAGGCTAGAATTTACGCTCTTAGCTTTGTATGCCGCCATGATTATATTAGTTATGCTGGTTGCTACGTATTAGATACCTGGCAACACTGCTAATATATCATACTGTCGTATTTAGCCCACACATTAGAACCATGTTGGATTGACGACTGTTTCTGGATAAAGGGATGCTAGGAATGCATTGGATAATATGCAAGAGCCGGTGATGGTGGGTAAATACAACAGAACACTGCTCGGACCGGGATAGGAGGAAATCCCTCAATCAAGCACAGCCATCACCTTTTGATGTTGTATGTCGTTCTTAAAGCTAGTCAATGAGGTCGCAGATGCGTTCGTAATTCCGAGGTACAAATGAGTATAGACGAACGAAAAGCCTAATCTTTTACCTAGGCTTGTAACCCCAATACTTTATGTCCTCCTTATAGTATCAAAATTCCGTTCCATCCTCAGTCTTCACCCTGTCCCAGTCCTCGACCCGGGTGGTAATAATACGGCCTTTTCAATGCTTCCGGAAAAGGTATTTGTCACTTCGGATGAAGCTGTGCTCCTCCTTTGTGATTTTGACCATCTTGTGCGTCGCCCCTTGATGAGTCCCAGTGGCGTGGGAGGGACCAGCCGCAGGTTCGTCCTCAGGATCATCCGGGAGCTCATCAGTCTCCATTGACTGGTCTGGGGGATCCTTTGGGTTGTTCTGAAGCTGTTCCACGGATGAAGTGACCGGGTAGTCTGATTCGAACTGGGTTGAGGGCTCCGGAGGCCAATAGCTCTGGCCGTGATACCCCCCGGACCATGCCGGGATGTACTGATTCGGGCTGAAAGCCGATTCTTCCGCTGGCTGATTGTCTTGGCTCGCATAGCCGTGTGATTCCTCGTTTGGCACTGGGAAGCCCTGGCTTGGGAGAATAGTTGCTTGGCGGAGTGGCCGGTTCTCTTTGATGTAATTGCAGAGTTGTGCAATACAGTCCCCCTCTGCGGAATCTAGCGGAATGAATGCACTGCGACTGCCACGAGGGACATCGCTGAACAGAGGTTCCAGTGCCATGACCTCTGCCGACACTGTTCAAAATCGGAAGCCTTCTCCAATGGTGGTGAACCCGTAGACCATCTCCAGCTCGTGTGCAATTATTGCTTCTCGGGCCCTGGCCAGAAGTTGAGACTCGCCCTCGGAAGGTGGCTTCCATGAGGCCTTCAGTTCCCCAATCATCACCATGAACAGGGTATCGTGGTCGAAGTCGGTACCTTGGACCAGCAAATCGACTCTTGCTGCGCCCCTGTCTACTGATTGCTCGGGATTGATAGCATAGCCTTCTATTGCTGGAAAAAGATTGTCATAAGCGTCTGAAAGGGCGCAACGGCAGCGTATTCCAGATTGTGCTCGCGATGTCTCCTTAGCAAGAGTTTGATGACGGGGTACTGGACAACGAGAGAGCTCATGATGAAGACGTGACTAATCCGTGGACGCGGGCTAACACAATACAAGTGAAGGACAGGACTGAGATGGCGAGCCCCCGGGCAATCAATTCTTTTATACATGTATAATACACTGTACACATATCTTACTGGTCTATCATTTCAATTTGCAGACCGCCTGGCCGTCCATCCATGGCTAACGAGGCAAATCTACATCTCTCATGTGTCTTCCGACTGTGAACTTGTACGAGAATTTGTGCGTGTGAATATACGAACACTGAGAGATATGTTAATTCCTCTTGCCTTAGCTGTCTCGCAGGCGAAACCGATGTACCAATGCACGAATCACGACGTTCCAGTTCACATTGTCCAACTGCATCATTCAACAAAGGTCCGTGGCTGCATTTGAGGGTGGCCGCAACAACACCCTGCACCTGATAGCCCGGATGACCGGTCTGGCCAGAACGGGCTAGATAGCCACTTAACCCCAAATCTATGTCAAGGGTGTTCACCAGAACGTGATTGCCCCACTATTATGCTACTTATAGGTGAAGTCACATAATTAAGATAATCCAATAATTAGGGGTGCTCGCATAAGTGTGTCGGATTTCCTTTGGAATCATGCTAACATCTGTTCTGATTGGGCCCTCCCGTCTGTGGACACCATAATCACAGGCTGTGCTGTCACCTGCTCTGCCCCCTCATAGCCAAGAACCATGGTCTCTCCTCCACAATGCAACTGTTTATCCTTCGATGTCCCTCTCCTGGCTGTAGGTCGAAATCGGTGTCTGTTCAGATGTCCTTTGTTAGCGGTCTAGTTCTCATTTTGTTAGCGTCGATTTCTTACCTTGGATTTTTGAAGAGAATCCCGAGTGATAAGCCGGCCGCTGTCAGACCTTGCCTTTGCCCTTGCAACCCGTGCAAATCCCACCATCTTTGACGCCATTGCCATCACAGTCTCCGCAGTCTGACATGATATAGATGTAGGAAATGAGGTAGAAAGGTAGAAGAGGCGTGGATTTGGTTGTGATGGTGAGTAAACTGTCGACAACGGGATGCACCCGAACTTAAATGTCTTCCGCTCGTTGGGTACAATTAGTAGCCCAACGGCAACCGTGTGACCCAGCCAAGTCAATTAGCACAGTGTGGGGCACCAAACAAGCCTGGGCAGGGTTGGTCAGCCTTAAATTAAGCCCAGGCACCACCCTTTGTTCGTTGAAAAAGGTTGTGTCCCCATATGCCTCATCTGATTCGAACCATGGCTGACGAATACACGCGACATCGTCAATGCCAGACTTGCTATGTTCACTTCCCATCGAGTCAAGAACTGACTGGTCACATCGAGAAATATCGAGTATGTCGCATTCGATTTCACCGATCCCGATTATCTCTCACGTTAACATACAGTCTCGTGAGCGACTCTTGCTTGCCGAATTAGAACGTTGTCGTATGCACATTGCTCAATGCTGCGACGACGACGACGACAATGATGACGACGCCATCAGCAACAAAGGGAGCGGTGGCGACTGTTCTGATAGGGCTCACCAGGGCCCGTTAGCACAACCAAGTACCCTTCACTGTCCTTTCGACGGCTGTGAAAGAAACGAGCCATATACAACTCGAGGCAACCTCGTGAGACACTTTCAGAAGCGTATGTCGCTCGACTACGGCCCGCTGGGTTGCTGAATATCACATCACAGACGTCCCGTGCAACGAGATATGCCCCTTCTGCGGCGAGGTTTTCAAGCAAGTACACCGATACATGAGACACGACTGCAAAAGCAACGAAGATGGATCGAAGAGGCTGTTCGTGCAGCAGAGGATCACTCAATTCAATAAAGATGTGAGCAGAGAGCTGGACGCTTTGCAGAGCCATGGCAAAAAACGGCGGCGGGCTATTCCAGATTCGAACTCAGGACAGGCAGCAACGGCTGAAGGATTCTCGGGACCCATCGCAGAATTTGACGCACCTGGCGGAGCGCCTTATCAGCTTGGCTCTGCTAAGGCGATAGACGGCGAACCAAAGACGAAAGCGCAGAAGCTAGAAGCTCCGGCTAGGTCACTGGATGAATCGATGGCGATCATGGGCGCGAAGAGAGAATGTGACTTGCAATTTACTGCTGAGGAAGTTGACGGGGAATGGGCTTTCGCTAGCACGGGGACGCTAGCATGTGCAAGCAACGACATATGGGGGGGATTGGATCAGTCAGCGCTGGGCTACGGCGAGTGGGCCTTTGCCAACCCAGGCGTGAACTCGACTATAAACAACGCGGATTGGTCATTTGATCAGAACTTTGCTAAGCTGGCCTCGGGCGGCAGTAAATGGGGATTGCCTGACTCGTCGTGATTAGAACTCTGTAAAAATCCCAAAAGAAGCTAGTTTTCCCTCCATGATCACCCGCCTGACAGCTTCGACCGGTCGCCCTCTTCACTTCTGGTATTGGCAGGATCATCGGGTCTGAAAATCAGGGTTTGCACCGTCATGGTCTGATATTGGTGACGTCAGCGTATGATTGGACAGATGACTATGCAGTATGTGCTAACCGGCTGAGGCTTAGCGGGGTCCCTGTGCATTGTCACAGACAGGGCTGCTCACACATTTGTGATGCGGGGTTTTCACTCTGACCGAGATGGGAACAACCCAGAAAATTGCTCCAGTTTGAGAGACTTGACTGAGCAAGCATTATTCCACAACCAACTTGTCATCAATGGCCTCAACCTTTGACCTCGACGACGCTCTAGAAGCCATGCAAAAAGATGGATTCTACTGCATACATGATCCTTCCGTAGGCCACAAAATTCTGGAGATGGAAGAAAACAGGTCTCAATTCTCGACATCTTCTTTTTCCGGCCTAGAATTCTACCGCCTGAACGTATTTCAAGATGAGGTTTGTGTCTGAAACGCAATTCACGATGTTTTGCTAACGCCTGCAGCGCGTACGGACCATCCTCGAATCGTCCTTCGATTGGTGTGCATTGGGAGACTACCGCAGAATTCGTGAGGATCGAGGCCATATCTTCCAACTCCGGAGGGGCGGCGCGAAAGCAGATATTCTGATCGTTCAGCTCTGGAGCGCCAAAGCGCACGCAACGTACTACAGCGGTTCACATCTTGTTTCGCGAGAATCATTAAACAGCGTCCGGGCGGCAAATCGCATGTGGGAGGTACCTCTTGCAAAGCTAGAACGGGCAGGCAGCGAAGCACGAGAGATCTCATTCGAGCAAGGTGGCATGTGGGTATGGCGCACCATCATCTGAAGATTTTTTGCTGATGAATTATTCAGAGTCATTATGGATGCTCGACTCGCCTTTGAAACGACACATGGATCACCGATTACTTGTTCATTTGCCACGGAAGATCAGTTAAAAACCTGGCCGAAACTAGTCCCCCCGAACTTGGACGATGGTAACAAAATGGTGGCAGAAGTACAGTCCAAAAGAATAGGAGCGTATTTTGCGAATGTGGCGAGCGCTTGAATGGTTCAGTCGCTGGGAAAAGGAATCGTCGAGGCAACTGATCCGCTGCCTTGCGCCCGGAAGGGCGCGGGGGCTCCGGGGACCCAGTTTCGGTGCAGCCAGGTAGCAGGAGCATTCTCGGCTCCTAAAAGGCTGACTGCAGGAACATCCTAGAGGGTAGACTCGAATGCTATTCAGATTTTCGCATGATGAAATTGGTATTTTCACAAAATCACTTATATACCACCATCTCCTGTGCTGACTCTGTAGTTTTTCCCTTGCAAGCCGCTTGATGCCCGCGAGTGTTGCCATTTGACCCATCCGCGCCGGCAGTGTCGTTCCTTCTTTGGCCAGCCGATCCGCGGCCTCGTTTCCTTCGATGCCCTGGTGTCCCGGAGACCAGTGCGTCCGTACATCAAAAATCCTGGCTGCTTCTTGGATTTCGAAGAAGGCCTCTTGTGACGAGTCCGGTGCCTTGCCGCGGATACCTTGTATAACGCTGGTGTTGTCGATACATATGTGGATTGGATGACCGCGATTGGTGAGCAGAGCCCTTCTGAGGCCGGCTCGCGCTCCTTCGACCTCGGCGTCGAACACTTCTGCCAGTCCGAGTCGGCCGCACCCTTGCGCTATGCGTTTGGAGTCTCGGTAGATGACGAAGCCGTACCCCACGGCTCCGTTCGTCGCCCTGGAGCCGTCCGAGAAGACGATAGAATGGCTTTCCGGTACTGTCCTTAGCTAGCGCTCGAAAGCTTTCGCAGCCTCTTCTTCTTTGTTAGGGTGGCCGTCTTTACTTCTTCTCCGCCAACATTGTCCTGCCAAGTAATCGCTCGCCTCGGGACGACAGATACATCAAACGGATCACCCGGTGCGTCGTCTTCCGCGCTAAATCTGTCGAGCAGGGCTTCCCGAAGCGCTCGAGCCTTTTCGTTGGTGTCCTCGATCGTCTGGTTGTCCACAACCAGTGGGGGTGCTCTGGTCAGTGGGCTCGCCTTCCGCCAACCCATGATCTGATAGAGGTCCCGGTCTGAAGCGACTCTATCGATCTTTTTGGACCAGTACGCTCGCTTAGCTTTCCTCACAATGCTCAGGAATGCCTTCCGCTCTTCCCTTAGAGAAAGATGTGCGTCCTGCTCCGTCTCCTAGGCTTGTTGGTTGCGGGCAGCCCGGTACGCTCTGTGGGCCTCTGCGCATTCCTCTGTCCACCAAGCCGCGCTTTCCCCGTCCGTCGCAGTGGTGTTGCCCGCCATCGGTGCGGCGACAGCCGCCCAACTCCGAGCCGCTACTGGGGTTGTCTCGTGATTGATCAGTCTCTTGAGGGCTTGGATGACATAGCCACTGGCTTCTTTCGCGATCTGCTTTCTAGAACCGTCGAAGCTGGCGACAACGCTGTCAACGGACTGTGCAATGGTCAGAAAGACGTCTTTCCGTGCCTCGTATTGTCTGGCTTCTTCTGCAAGGGCTGTCAAGACGGACCCTGTGGCGAACCCGGTCGGAGGAGATGATGTAGAGGTTGTGGGCCCTTCGGCCGAGGAAGGGGCGTCGTTGGTGGCGTCAAGCTGGCTTCCCGTTAGGCTAGGCCGAGTCGGCAGTGCCTTGGTGTCGCGTCGTCGCTTAGCTCTTGTGGTGGGGTTCGGCTCCGGAGGTGTCCCGGAGCCTAGTTCGGGGTCAGCAGTGTCGGCCGACATCAGTCCGGTGCCCGGCGGCGGCTGTGAGGCCATCGCGGATGCGGGCTTCGGCAAGGAGAGGTGAAGAGTTTTCGGCTGTTAGTAATTTGGTGGTAGGTTCATTCATTCACTAACAGCAGATGCCAAGAAAAATTAGGCGAGAGGGAAGTTTCTCTTGTTTCTAGTACTTCACTGTCGATACTGGAAAGACAATTGTCTCATAGAATATTGCGAGATGCTTCGCATGGCCTCGAACAGGCATATGTTGCATGCTACAACGCGATCCATATCCATGATTAACCGTCTACTTTTATGCCCTCTTCCTCTTTCTTTTCTGTGTCTTTGCCGGTGGTTTGTGTTTGTGAACCAGCTTCAGGCTCATGTATTTCTCAGCCACCCAAGTATCCTCTTCGTGAGGCCTACCATCCCAGTGAATCTGATATTCTGTCTTTCCCTTACGAAATCTGGTGTTCAACACCTGAACTCCCTTTTCAAAGCCCTCATACTCTTCCTCAAATGTTTCAATCAAGTTGTCATCAAGGAGGTTTTCCCGAGGTTCCCAGCTGCAGGTGCCATCCACCCAACGTAGAAAGAATAAGTTTCTACCCCATCTTCCGAGAATTTGATCCACCGTGAAGGTTTCATTGATATCCCCCTTTATTGGTAGCTGTTGGGGAACGGCTGATTGAGGTAAAGGGTCAGCCGACCGCGGTGAAACATCGTTGTATCCTTCCTCAGCAAGGAGAGATGGATCGACGGGCATGAATTGGAAGGTACCGGCATGTGCTAAACTTTCATATATGTGTGTACTCTCGTCGTCAATCAGAGTTGATCTCTGAGGTTCTCTGCCTTCAGCGCCCGAACGTAAGATAATTCGAACCTTTTTGGGTTGTGAACAGTGTGCCTCCGGCTGGCATGAGATTGAGTCTCTTGGGCTGTCCCTTGATGTACTATCCCAGAGGCCCAAGATTTCATCTGAAGACGTCGTATTTTCGAGATCAGAGGTGCATAATTCCCCATCCAGAGACTCCGGTGAAGGTGGAAATTGAAGGTAAGATTCCATGAATTCATCGCCCGCGATTGTGTTCTCTGTCCCGGAGAAGAGCTCATCATGCATGGGCGTCTTCGAGGTGCACCATGAAATGTCATCTCCAGTGCATTTTGTGTCTGCTTTCGCTGACTCATTGTGAGCCGCTTCGAGTCCGTAATGCAGGTGACCATGAAAAGGTGTGTTGCAGGCCAGCGAGGATTCTTCTGGTGTAGTGTTTGTCCTTCCAACTCGACCAAGCCTTGCCGCAATCTTGAGAAGATGAGAGTCTATCAAATGACACTCTAGAGCCTCCTCATTCTCGAGGGTTTCCGAGCAAAGTGGGCAGAAAGCTGGGTAGATGTTGCGCACTTCCTCTTCTTTAATGTGTCGCACGACCTCTGCATCTCGTTTCCAAGGGCGTAAACGTTCAGCTGGGCTTTTGCCTTCCGCAGCAAGGCACCAAGGACAGTAAGCTGGACGAATAACTGTGCGTCGCGACTCCATTGAGCCGCAGGTCTTGGAAGGTGGCTGTAGATGGGAACGACAGTGCTGGTTCCAAGACTCCCCTTTAATGAACCATTCAGCGCACATGTGACAGAATCGCATATCCCTGGGTAGGACCTGTCGCTCCGCAGCAGCATGGTGCCTGCTGCATGTGTGCGCATGAGAGCTTCGAGCTCTCATTTGACTTGACAAGTTAGCTTCGTACGGTTGCATACAGCGATAAAGCTTACATCGTGGACAAATTTGTGCCGCAGAAACGACAATCGCCACCATCAGGCTCCTCTCCGGGATAATACAAGACCATGCAGTCCTTGGAAGCCAGTTTATAGAGATCTTGGATGGCTTGGCGCATGGATGGTTTGCTGAGTTTGCTCATTGAGACCATCAACCTTTCGACGCGTTCTAATTCAGGGATGAAGGGCGTAAGTTGATTAGCCCGGACGGGTCCCGAAGCTGGTTGAACTTTGCCTCTCGTGAGAACCTTCCAATCTCGCCGCTCTCGCACCCATTCTCGACGATACTTTGTCAGAGCATTTGCTTTCAATCGGCGGCGCAGGCCGTGAAGCGCCCTGCTGACTTGGGGCTCTTTACTTGAATCTTTGACCGAAACGAGCTCTTTTTCAAGGGCGACTACCTCCTCATTCTGCCACAGGGCTCTCTCACGGACAGCAGGCAAAGTTGTCGGAGCTCCTTGCTCGCGAAACTTCTCCACTCCTTGGAAGAATTCCGCAGCGGTATGATCTGGGTTCTCACTGAAGAAAGCGCTGAGCCCGTCCACAGACGAGCAGTTGGCCACGTAGCTGGCACCGAAGATTTTCGTATCTGACTGTGTAATATGCTGCGACCGCTGGACTTCAGTGTACCGTTCTTTATCATATCAGGTCAGCAGGCTGAGGCGATTTACTCTGAGTATGTCATACCGTCAATTTTCTTCCCAAGGTAGCGCCTGATCTGATGCACAGATGCTCCGACATCAACGTAGCCGGCCAAGTCCAATATCCTACGGAACGCTCGTTGAAACACCCCAACGCTCATTTGCTCCCTCGATACAGTACCGTCCCGTTCGATTTTGCGCAGAATTGGGAGATCGAGCACCTTTTCATTCCAGCGGAGGATATTCTCGCTATCGTCAGGTAAAATCTCCAAGTCCCAAAGGTCTTCCAAGGTGTCTAAGCCGAACAGAGCTTGATCTGCGAAGATTAGAGCCTCAAGTAAAGCCTCGACGTTGTGAAGAAGGACAGGGTGTTCCTGCATGGTGGTGCCGAATCTAAGCAAGGGGTCAGTAAAGATCTAACATACGAAGGGACTGCTCTCACGCACGTCTGGTTTTCGACGTTACGGTTATTCTTCACAAATCTTTGATCAAATCTGAAAAAGAAGAAGTAATCGTTGCCCTCAGATCTACGCTTCTGAACAAGTTCGATATCCTTCTCAAATAAGTTTCTGTGTCGTGTATGTAAATCTAGGGACTCTTACCCTGTATGTGACGTTTCCCGCGAAGAGAGCACCGACTCGTGCCCCTGTAGTTGCATAGACCATAAGAATGAAGTGCAACTGGATCCTCATTCTGTCGTGATTGACCTCAAGTTCACTCCAGATGACGTGGAGAATGCGGTCGAGGGCTACGACATCAAGATTATGTTTGGGCCTCTTGGCATCCTCAAGGATGCTCTGCGCAGGCAAAACATAGCGAAGCCACTACTTCGTATCAGCATGGTGATATTGTTTGTTCTTGTCAGACCTTAGTGTAGAGCTTACGTGATAGACCTCACTGCGTTGTTCCTGGCTAGTCTCCGTCTTGGTCTCGAAAGTGAAAGCTCGATAGAAGGCCTCTGCAATACCAATCATAGATTCCACTGTAGGCTTCCCGTTCTTTGCGATTCGACCTCTGCTTGTTTCGATGTAGAAACGAAAGAAATCTTTCACTTCGGTCAAACTTGGAGCCGGCGCATTCTTCTGTAGTATGAATTGTCGAGTGCTTTCGAAATCGGGTGGCATTGCTCCAGAAGCATCTGCTTCATCACTAAGCCGACCCCAATGCCAGCTGACGAGGTTAGCAGAGGGCACGAAGTGTTCCCAAAGCGACTTCTCACATTGCGAACCGTTGAAGTACCGTCGGATGCATTGCCGTCGTGTTTGATCGATACCTCTCGAGGTTTGTCTGGCTATCTTGATCTTTATGAGCGTCTCTTTTGTATCCTTTGGCTTTCGCCAGAGCGATGACGGATTCGGGCGAGGGGGCCATTATGCTAGCGTCCTCAAAAAGATCTCAAGATGCGTTGGTTGGATGAAATTTTTCTGTCCTTGAAAAAGGTGGAATGAGAATAGCAATTCTCACTAAATAAATAGTTTTTTTCACTCTGAGCCCTGTTGGTGCATGACTGTGGTTTCCACAGTCTGAAAACTGTTTACGGCTTTGAGGAGTTGGTTCTGAGTTATCGGATACCCGAAAGCACTAACATCGCCAACCACCCCTGTCTCTCTGCTCACCCTGCTCACCCTGCTCATCTCAGGCATCGCTCAGCGACGCCAAAAGCGGCCACTTTTGGGTGAGCCCCAGAGTGAGGCAGATGCACTTGGACAGTGTATTGTGGTGCCAATAGCGTGGCCAGACATCACGGCGGCTATCATCCGGCTCCCAGATCGAAGGCTGATAGTGGCGTCGTTGTACGCGCCGGTGCAGAACCCGGAGATGCTTCGGCGGGCGTGTAATCTACTAAGGCAGGCCATCACGAATGTCCGAGGAGGAACAGGTGAAAGGTTGAACGCAGTCCTAATAAGAGACTTCAACTGCCACGACTACCTGTGGGGAGGCGATGTGGTGCCGGAGAGCCGGCAAGGCAAGGCGGACCCGATCTGATGAGCGAGTACTCACTTCGCAGCCTCCTTCCGCGTGGCACGCAGACTTGGAGAAGAACGATGCGTCAACGACGATCGACCTGTCCCTCGCATCCGAAGAGCTGTCATGAAGGGTAGTACGATGTGCACTGCACGAGACGGACCTCGGATCGGGCCACCAGGCGATCGAGACGATTTTCGACAATGCAGCATCCGAGACAAAAGCCGACCTCGACTGCTCTCAAGGATCGACGAGAGGATAGAAGCGAGTCTTCAGCAGGCGCCGTCCAGAGGAACGGTGCACAGGTAGACGAATCGACTGATGTCGGAGTGTGCGAGCCAGTGGAGGCACTGACGCCGGCATTTAAGCCCACGGTATGCTAAGAGGTTATGGACGGCCGACCTCACCCAGCTCCGGCAGATCCACTCACTGGAGAAACCGGGCAAGGGCGGAGAGGAGAGCAGGCAACAGACAACCAGAGATTGAAAAACGAGCACGCCCATCGCCTTTGGATCGTCCTATTCCAGCCAAACTCTGATTCTTGTTTGGATCACAAAGTATGGCCTTCGTGAAAATGGGGTCCCAGGAGGAGCATACGAAATAGGGCGACGCCGCGACAAAGACTTCGGAATTGGCCAAGTATCGACGAGCAGGGTCCATTTCATCCCCGCGAGGTCCTAAGATCACGTCGGCATGCGGTTGTAACTCTGTGGGCATGCTGTCATTAACGAAGTCGAGATCCATTGCGCTCTTCGGTATTGTATTATATGCAGGATGATGTTGTAAAGTACTGCCTGGGGTTATATTATTGCCTACGTAGTTGCGAGGAGATTGTTGCCAAGATGGAAGCGCAACCAGGCGAAATTGAAGATGTTCGCAGATTTCTGGAGGCCTAAGGCGAGACATCCGGCGATGGTCTTCGTGTGTTTCGTCTGGAATCTTGCGACACCTTGTGTCCTCGATCATAATAGCTGTGCCACTCGAAAGGCTTATCGAGACGAGTCGATAGGCTTTCGGCGTGCGTCATATGTTTTCGGCAGTTGACTACACCATGTTACACCAACTTAACTCTATGTAGCCGCACGATCCTATCCCCCATCTTTGCCGCCATGACGATATGCACATGTCATCTCGCAAACACTATAGCCGGCGCGGCCCGACAAAATGTGCTTGGAGACTAAGGAAAACCCTCCAAAGCTTGCCTAGCCTAGAATATCGTCCTCGGCACAACATAGTTGTATTGGACGTAACCATAATAAAGCTCCTTCCCGGTCCGCTGCTTCGACGTGTCAGCGTTATCGCCACGGCAAACTCGTCCATCATACGCTGTTGAAATGGCGGAGGTAGATTTCGAGAAGTATGCAACCCTCATGATGCTAGTGGCTTCCCTTGACTGATTGTTGACTAGAATCTTGGTATCCGATTTTTTCAAGTTCGTCGTAGGCGTTGAGAATCAGGTTTTCTACCTTCACAGCGCACTGGTCGCTCTTCAATCTGAAGCGCTCGATGTGTTGGTGAACGGCGGCATGAGAGAGGCCCAAGAACGTTGTGTTCAATGGGCGAGCATTGACGTCCCAACGTTTATTCGCTTTGGCCAGTTCATTTACAGAGAGGATTACGAAGCCCCGCCACACAAAAGCCGCAATAATTCATACCTGAGCGCTGATTTCATTCAGACTTCAAGGGTGACCAAGGGCAAGAAGGGCATTCGGTCGATAGTCCCATACGCTCCGCCTCCGACGAACGGACTGCTCTGGGACGAATTTAGATCGTTGTATCCAGATGCCAGTCTCACCATCGTGCGCCAGAACGAAGCGAACGACGACTACACCGATGTCTTTCTCGGCCATGCCCAGGTCTATGTCTTCGCAGAGTGCTACGGAGTTGAAGGTCTGCAGACTCTGTCGCTTGGCAAGCTTCGGCGAGTCCTTGAGTCATTCGCTTTGTTTAAGACAGGTATCAAGGATGTTGTACGGCTGATTCGATATTGCTATGACAATACGGCGGGCGGAACAAACGAGGATCGGCTCAGAAGGCTCGTCACTATGTACACAGCCTGTAATGTGGAAACACTATGGGAGGATGAAGAGTTCGCCGACTTGATCGAAACGAACGGTGAGTTCGCAAAAGGTCTAGTCAGGTCAATGCTGGGACGCCTCAACTAAAAACAGACTGCGAACCAGTCGGCCGGAGAACGTATTGTGGTATCAACGCTGTCGCTGTTGTCTAGCAACAATTCCGATGGCAAAGATGCACATGTACTCGAATAGAATCTGATTGAATAGGAAATGAGGTATCATAATTTGACGCGGCACTCGGAAAATTCGCAACCGAGGCCGCACATGAGTTAACGAAGCATCGTGACGACCCATCCCCGCGACAGAGCGATCTGCACCGAGTGAGAGAACCTTATGCTCTATGTATCGAGGGCTTAAGCTGGTCACTGCGGCAGTCCTTTGCGGCAAATTCGTCTTTCCGTGCTTATTTGAACGCCAGCCTGAGGGACTCCAAATTCTTGATACCTTTGGGTGACGAAGTCATCGGCCATCACACCAATCGCGAAAGAGAACCTCATGCCTCTAGAGCGAGAGCCTCATTACCGTCCAACAATCGATTTTGCGATTTCCGAAAATCAGTTCGGAGCCCGGGCACACAGGCCCGGAAAACTATGTAGACAATCGTCCTGAACATTCTGAAAACAGGGTGCCAAAACGATTTCGTCAAAACGGAGTAGATCATTTCTCTCCAAGATTTCCTTGATATTAATTACTTATGCTTGAGCTTGGGCAAGTATCGGTCCCTCTGAGGACCAGCGCCATCTACACAGGAATGCATAGTGTGATTGTCAACATGAAGTTTTTTGGCAACGGTGGTTTCGTTTTCTAAGGAAAGTGCCTTCGCCGCCTCAGCTCCGACATTGCCCTTCTCATCCAGTACCTCAGTTCGCTTCAGATTGTCTACCTTCATGGGATAGAGCTCGTCTCGTAGCACGTGTGCTCCAGGACCGAAGCTTTCTCCCGCCATCTGCTTGACAAGCCTATGCTCAGCATCGTCGCGACAATTGATGCGGGTTCTATCCGCGTTCCTTGGGTTTACTGTGATGACCCGACAGCGCCAGCTACCTTGTCCCTCCATCGTGCGCATCACCTTTTCCAGCGTAGCCCGGATCCGACCTGCGTTGGGCTTGTCGCTGCCTTTCTCAACTCTTGATGTGTCGATCGTACAGATCAAAGGGTCGCTGCGGCTCGGCAGCGTCGCGTTGCCTGGCGTAGCTACCTGCGAGTCGCGACCTTGCTCACCTAAGCCGCTTCGCGCGACGTCCGAGTATGACACACTCGGGCTGTTCCGCGTCGCAGCCACCAACGAGATTGCTTCAAGGTTCTCGTTCGTCTTGGCGCTTTCGCCCCCCACGCGTTCTCTCATCGCTTGTAGCTCTCCTTTGACAGACTGTAGCTCGCTCTCAACTGTTTGCCGCTCCGAAGTAACCACGCGAAGCTCTGCCTCAACGTTCTTGTTCCACGTTTCCGACTTCTTCCACGTCTCGAACATGATCTCGATCGCTGCGTGTATCTCTTTGATCTGCTTGCTCATTGTTAGGAGCAGCCCTGTGTCGTCATCCTCAACAGGCTTCGCGCGTTCCTGAGCCAGGGTTGCGGCTCGAGTGGTCGTCGTCCGCCGGCCACCACCAGCGATCTCGGTTGCTCCGTCGATCGCATTGTCGATTATCTCTTGGTGAGTCTGGACTCAGTCGGGCTTTCGTGGATAGGTTTCGTACTCTTCGTGATGGCAGGCTCTCGTTGCTCGCCGCCACCACCTCCCTCGCAACGGTGATGGACGTCGAATCTGGCTCGAGGTCCATCACGTCGGGACGTGCGTTGGGTCGCCACGCGGTGGGTCATGCTCGTGCCACGTAGCGCGTTTCGAAACGTCTCAAAGGCCCTCAGTCTGACAACGTCTAAGAATCCTCCAAGCAAATAAAGTACAGTATGTACACTTCTTTCTTTCAGCACGGACGCTTGACATCTTGCCACCAACACAGTCTGGCTTAGTACGGGAGTACTTAACCCAGAAAAACCTCAGGTTGGCAGGGGTGCTCCATCCATGGTTTGGAGCAAACATTGGCTTCGGTGTCATCACCAGCAGGGGTTCTAAGTGGGTTGGAAAGCCGATTCTGGATTACCCAACCTCTGTTACTGGAGATGGAGAGCTTGCCCAAGTGTATGGGTTGGTCGTCGAATGATGGATATTGTGTTTGGCATGTATCCGCCAGGGTTTAGTATACACTGTGTAAGCATCAAAAACGGCTTACGTGTCCGTGCGGAACGAGATCAGAGTTGAAGAAAGGTGAAGACCTCTTCGCGGACCCCTGTAATCCAAAAAAAAAAAATGCTGTCTGGTAAATTAGACTCACCCCTTGATGACACCAAAGCCATTTTAAGCTTCTGTCATGCACTGACTCCTGCGGGATGGACCCTGCAAGAAGAAGTGGATATTGCTGATTTCCAGAATCGAGTCGTCCAGAAAGCCACAACTAGCGCAAGCTTCTGGAAGTTAGGTAAGCAATCCGCCAAGCCATATGGTATTGAGAAATCTGTCACTTCGCGGAGTGAATCAACTCTCTGGGATTTGTTCTCACAGTAGGATTTCTAAAAGGTTGCTAGGCAACTAGATGACATAACTTCAAGTGAAAGATGATTGCATCGCCGTGCAAGACCGAACTGGAAATAAATCAAAAGCACCATATGGAAATATGCAGGCTACAAGCACTTGACGCAGCAGAAGCAACCATGGAGCAGCGGATACATAATGCTGTGCGTAACCCGTTTTCCAAACACTTGGATCGGGTAGGGCAAAAGCTGTCAGCCGGACCTCCAAAGTGGGTCGGTACAGCAGTGAGAAACCAAACTGTGCTGGTGCCAAGGATACAGACTTGCAGACGGGAAGAGACCAGAGAGTTATGAAAGGAATGAAGCCCTTTTCGCTGACTGCTACTGTATACTCGGTTTGTCAGTGAGGCGTACCAAGCCGTGTCCCTTTGCGTTACATAGAGAACTCGCTACGTAGGATCTTTCCTGCTGGGCGGACAGGCGTACCGATCCGAATAGCAACAGCAACAACCACTTGTGTGGTGGAACTTGAGATCAGTTCCAAGCGGAGTTTTTTGAACGTGATGTTAGTAGTGCAAAAAGAGGCATGCAGCGCACTGGCGCTTGAGCGGCTAAAAGTTCGTGAGCCTCCCGCATATGCTTTGCTTTCCCAACCCAGGCGCGTTTCGTCATATGTTCATAGCCTGATTCGTGGCCGAACCAATCTTGTTCGCCGACACGCCGGCCTCTGTTACACTGGTGGAAAGCCTGCCTATGGCATTCCGGTCTCTTGAGCAGCTCGCGTTGTAGGGCGTTCTCCACTGGGCCGAGGCGAAAGCGGAACACCAGTCGTTTGCTGTCAATTTGGTCTCCTGTGCCCCGCTAGGAAACGTGGCAGTGGGACGGGTACAGCCCTGCACACCGGGGAACAGGTGCGACTGCGCCCAGGGGCAACGGTTGGTCATAAAAAGCTCCAGGCCATATTCTCTGGACCACTAGTTGCTGCGCTGCTCCCGCCCGGACTTGGGTGGCGACGCCACCAGCACCACCGCCACTCCAGGCGGCAGCGGTCGTGCAGGGGTGAAAGACACCCGTCTGTATCAGGGGACACGCATGGGTGGTGCAGGACGACAAACCGCTTAGTACCCAAAAGTACCGGGTATCTCGACCGAAGCAAATGCCTCCACGCCCGCCTAACTAAGTGTTGGCACAAGCTCCGGTGGCGCATGACCCCACAGCAAGTGTTGCAAAGATCCCAATCCAAAGAATGGTATGTTGCAAGCCGTCGAATTCACATGGTCAGTCGGGACCGGCGCACATCGTCCACAGCAGACCGTACAACATTCTGGGTGGCCTTGAACCTTTTCGTCGCTCATTTGGCGCCTTCAGAAGTAAGCCTTGTGGTTCGCTTGCTGTCCCTAGGCGTTGGCATCCCGCTGCTAGCCCGGAGTACATGGTTTGTAGCGCCTCTAGGTACTGATGACTAAGAAGAAGGTGATCTAACCCCGGAACGAAATGGCAAGGGGGTTTTCTAGCAGTGCCCCCTATCGCCGACCGTAGGCTCCCAGAATTCTGTTGTGGTGGCTTGAGCGGTTGGCTAGGATTGCGGGGGATGGGGAATGGTCGGTGGCATCGCATGAAACGTGACGGTCGCGCCTTCCGGCGACGTCACAGGCTTACTGTTCAATATTCACATCATTGCCTTCTCACTCCCGATTACAGCCGCTCTTCGGGAGATGATACATCAGACGTAGTAGTCAACTCATACTCTACGATGCTAGACCCGGATTTGCAACAAGCCTCTCCTTTGTCAATCAAGGGATGCGGCGACAACCTATACAAGACGACTGCTGCGGGACTGCTACACGAGATTGGCGTCGACGAAGCGTTGTCCCGCACGGCGAAACATTGTCAGTCCATGACCGATCGCGGCGAAGGGGAGCAGGCAAGACACATTTGGGAAGGCATGCTCATGGCGATGAAGGACTACGTCGGGGAAGGGCATCCGTCTACGCTTGAATGCAAGACCTTTCTCTATCGGATACTGGCAAAGACCTCAGACCTCAGAGCCGCCGAACGTTTGTGCGACGAGGTATTGCAGGCCAGACGACAATGTCTGAAAAACGATGCCGACATGCTACCTTGCATGCTCGAGCTCGCGGCCATCTTTGACTTGCAGGACGACTACGCACAGTCTGAACGTTTGCTATCTGAGCTCTATGGGAAAGACCTAGTCGAGGACGATCCCCTAAGGCTTACGTGTACGACTCGTCTTGCTATTATCTACAAGCAGCAATGTCGATACCAGGAGGCCGAGACGATGATGAAACAGGTAGTAGAAGTTCGAGCGAGGACATTGGAGGACGGCGACGCCGACTTGCTCCAATCCAAGAACAACCTGGCAAGCCTTTTCGTTGATCAACACCGATTCGACGAGGCGAAGGCCATCTACAGGGAGGTCATGACAGCGAGGATTCGCGCCTTGGGGTCGAACCACCGTGATGCGCTTGTCTCTACAGCCGACTTGGCGACGGTGTACCTCCGGCAAGGTCTCTGGAACCGGGCGGAGCAGCTTCTGTCATCTGTTGCAGCCATATCCAGGCGAGAGCTCGGTAGTGATGATGAAGAGACGCTGTCGATCGAGAGGCGCTGGGCGCAGGCTTTAGGGAGGCTTGGCCGACACGGGGAAGCAGAGAGAGTTCTACTCCGATTGCTGAATTCGAGGACGCAGAATGTAGGTCAAGAGCATTCGAAGACACTGATCTGCATGTGGACTCTGGCAAACACGTATTGCGGGCAAGGACGGCACACAGAAGCGGAAACACTCCTTAAACGAGTCGTGGAACTCCAAACAGAACACTTGGGCGGAGAACACTCCGATACTCTGATCAGCAGGTTTTCCCTAGCCCATGTATGCCATCTTCAAGGCCGGTTTCGAGACGCGATCACACTTGGAAAATCGGTTCTCGCAGATATGGAGCGGGCATTGGGAGACGATCATCATTACACTGTCACTTGCCGTGCCAACTTAGCCTTGGCATATGATGGTGCCCTACAGCATGGAAAAGCAGAGGAATTACTGGTGAAAGTGTTGGATGCGAGAAGAAACACGCTTGGGAAAGACCATTCCGAAACTCTGCGGTCGATGGTTAATCTTGCTTCTTCCTTTGGTCAGGCTGAGAAATATGAAGAGGCGAGGCAGCTCGCAAGCGAATTTTTCTGTCGAGCACCGAAGGTTCTGGGCGAGAAACATAGCATCGTCATTCATGGCGTGGCGGAACTTGCGGCAATTCTTGTGGAAGCGAAAGAGTTCGAGCAGGCGGAGGAGTGGCTCAAGCTGGCCTTGGACGTAAGACAGGAGACCTTGGGGCTGAACCACCCTGATACCATCATGTCCACGTACAACCTCGCCATGGCCTTCGTTGGGCAAGGCAGGGCGGAAGAAGCCGCGCCCCTGATGGACAGAGCAACCAACGGAGCTTTGCGCCGGCTCGGAGATCGACACCCAACCACACTGGTCTGTTGCTTCAATCTAGGCGTAACCCGTCGTTTACTGGGTAGGGACAACGAAGCAAAGGCTATCTGGACTCGGATCTTGCCCGACATGGAACAGATTCTGGGACCTCGACATGTTTGTGTTGTCCAGTGCAGATCCATACTATTTGGTAAATGACGAGGCATTCGGAACTAAACTACGACTATTCTCTTATGGTGCCTTTGTAGTCTTTTTATTGCAGACCGTTTTATAATTGCTCGTGTTGCCATCTGACGACCAGCGCCAGCAGTGTCGTGCCATCTTTGGCTAGCCTGTCTGTAATGTCCCAGAGACTAGTACATTCATGGATTAGATATCCTGGCCGCCCCTTCGAAAGAACGATTCTCATGCAGAGCTGGGCGCCTTGCCGTGGATAGCACGGATAACGCTGGTGTCGTCGATGAATATGTAGATTGGCAGGGCTTGATAGGTGAGCAAAGCACGTCTAAGACCGACTGACGCCCCTTCAACCTGAATTTTGAAGACTTTTGCTCATCCGAACCCACTAAATCATTGCAATACGCGTTCGGAATTTTTGATAGATAACGAAGCCGTGCCTTACGGCTCCGTTCATCGTTCCAGAGCCTTCCGCGAAGACAACCCGTGTGGCTTTTCAGCACCACGTACAGCCTTATCCCGGCGCCTCGTTGGGTCGGCCGACATCAGCCCGGCGTTCGGCGGTGGCTATGATGACGTCGCGGACACGGTTTCCAATAACGAGAAGGGGAAAATTTTAGGTTGTTGATAATTGGGTGGCACGTTCCCCTGTCCACCGAAAGCATATATCAAGGTAAAATTGGGCGATACGGAGATTGTAGATCTGAGCTGACGTGCCGATGCGTACACAGCTACGACACCCACGTGACGCAATGTCTGTTCCATCAGCATGACGTTTCATTGTCGTTTCTATCATATTCCCCATTCTTATACTGAACCATAAGAATGCGGGGCACCTGCGACCGTCATGGTGGCTTGCCTTACCAATGACCCTTTCTCACGATAGCGACGGGCTGTTCATAACCAGTATGGAAACTCCAAGAGACACCCAAGCAAGCACAGTTGTCGAGATTGCTCCAGGTGGCGACCTTATTCTGTTGGTTGGACTGGAAGAGACAAGATTTCTCGTTTGTTCTGTGGCACTGATAGCGGTATCGAAGCCTTTCTCCGCCATGCTCGGGCCAGACTGGAAGGAAGGCCACGATATGCACGACCATGGTAAACCTTCCGAGTTACTCCTACCTGAAGACAACGCTGCTGCATTGCAGATCATATGTTCTGTCATTCACCATAAGAACAGTGAAGTACCTCGAAACCTCGCTGTTGACGATGTCCTCGCAGTCGCTGTAGCCACGGACAAGTATGACTGTGGCAATGCTCTCAGATTTGCGAGCGAAAGCTGGCTTCGAACCTCTGGAAAATCAGCTGGTAACCTCATGCTTCTCACTGCCGCAGCATACCTTTTCCAGAACGCACAAGCTTTCAAGGAGATTACAAGAGCATTGATACTTGACTATGATGGTCCTTATCTTGCTCTTTGCTGGGAAGAAGCTGAATCTCTGATGGCGTGGAGGGTGTTCTGTAAGTATCATGGCAACTGATTGGACATGCGACTGACAAGAAAACGGGCAGGTCTGCTGGAACAGCAGAGAGGATTCGCAAGACTCGAACTAGCAGATATTCTTATGGCAGGGGTGAACGATAGGACTGGGGCGTGCGTTCACAAGTGCGGATGGACGAGCAAATATGCGTATGCATACCTGAAGCTGTTGGAAGAAGAGAGACTTTGGCCTTCACGTCTATTTCACACCTCCATCACCAAGGCACTGGAGTCAGCAGGAAGGATGCCTGACCCAATTCCTCAGGAATCAAGCACTTCGTGTATTCACGAGCGCAAGCACGCTGCTCCAGCCTACAGGAGAGACCGCAGAGGGAGAGTTGACACACTCCTCGACAGTATCGGACTTTGTCTACGCTGCGTTCGGTCAGGCAGCATGAGTTCTAGCTGTTGCCAGTCCTCCCATGGCTATTGAGAACCGGTGTTGGAGATACGTAGTGTTTGGGTCAGAGCATGGGTCACTTTGAATCAGTATCCTTACTTAGCCTTGAGAACATTCCCCATATCGCTTGACAGCTTAGCTTGCTGCTCAGACGGATGATGATTTTGGTCTACAAATGTGTCTCATACTTCGTGTCTAGTCGTGGCCTTGGTCTGGGGTGTGAATCCCAGATATACTCCATGATAATCTTTCAAATAGCATAAGGCCTAGCGGTGCCTGGGAGAATACGTCATGATGGCTGAGAGCCTGCCGCAAGTCGCTGGTAACCTTCCTTATCTAGCCTTGAGTAAGTCCGGCGGCGCCTCATCCGTTGGGGAGTGACTAGTCTCGCCCTCTCCTTATACCATTTTGACGTCGAGATGATCTACCCTCCTGCGTACACCAGTCTCTGGCCCCTCGAATAGTCCTTTTGACCCCAAATCGAGGAAGAAGCTTACCGGTAACGCTCGATCAATGCAGGCTGTAGTCTGGCGTAACTGGTTCCGTCTAGCCCTTGCGTCCAAGCGCGTTGAAACGGACGGCGTCCGGTCTGCCAGGCCGAAAGTCACATTTCTGTCAGCCTCTGGGCTACGATCGTCGTATAGATTGAACGGCCGGTCTACATGGCGGACGTGTTTACCAGTGGTTCCCACAGAGAGCTGACAAAGGAGTCACGTCGAGACGCCACCATTCTCCTCCTTGCGCGTTCTGTATAAACCTCGACAGCCGTGACAGAGGCCAGGGCTTGGCCATTGATCCTGGCCCTCGTCTGAACAGGTAGCTGAAGCACGAGTTTTGAACTGTAGTAGAGGTTTCGCGAGATAGCATGTCGACAGATGGCAACGGGAGATAGGTTCACTAGGTAAGGGTAGTGACGGATCTCTACGCGGCAACGAAACATACTTTCACCCTAGAGAAACTACACACAGTTTGAGGTAAACCGGCTAAGGTCTTTGTTGTACCAAGTTTAATATATTTGTAGGTCACCTCAGTAGGTAGCTCCATCGTTGAGGCTAGATCGGTTTTGCGAAGAAGCACAAATCCAGAACTAAGCTTTGTCGGTACTGCTCAGTCTAATTGTGGTCGTCGCATGAAACTTGTAACAGCTCAGTCAGATCTCAGTCCCATTCCAGATGTCCTCCTTGTCGTCATCAAATCTAGCCCGAATGGTGGCGAATCAATCGCTGTCTCGCGGAGAGAGCCAGAGCCTCGCACGTAGTAAGGCGGGGTCGGGCGGGGTAAAGTGGGGAAAGTATTTCTATACGAAGCAGCGGTGCTCCTGTCTACTCTTGACAAACGAGCACAGTCTACACATAACAACCAAGTCTCTCAATGTGGCGGACGCAAGACACGGAGGCCGCGGCCAGTCTCGCGGGGGTCGTGGCAGAAGCGATGGCGAGCGCGGCGGGCGCGGCGGGCGCGGCAGCTTTTCCGGAGGCCGAGGCGGTGATCGTGAACGTCGTGGCGGTAGCTTTGCTGGAGGAGGCAGCGGCGATCGTGGCCATAGAGGTGGAAGGGGCGGCCGAGGCGGCTCCGTCCCTCGTCGTGACGCTTTCGAAAGCGAGCCATGCACCTTCTACGGGTATGTTCAATGCTTCCTGTTCCTGTACTACGTGATGTTCTCGTAATTTAATACCTTGCAGGCAAGGCTCAGTGATACCTCAGCCCGACATTAAGATTACCGCCCTCGAAGACTCCCTCATCAAGAGCTACCAGTCCAAGGACCAAGTCCTCGTCAAAAAGATGGGCGTCCTCAAACTCACAGACTCTACTGTTTCTCTCATGCCTCGTCGTCCCGCATACGGCACCAAGGGAAAGCAGGTCATCGTCTGGGCCAACTACTTCCGCGTGTCCATCGAGCCCGCCGTGCTCTACCGGTACACTCTGGAGGTCCGCAGGGGCGAGAATGCCAACGCTCCTCCCGACGACCCCAAGGGCAAAGGAAAAGGTAAGGCGCAGGCTGGAGGCGGTGATGGCAGCGGCAGTCATGGACCCCTAGGCACCATCCCAGCGCGCAAGCTGAAGATCATCCTGCAACATGCTATTGAAGAGCTTCAGCGCCTCGAGCCTGAGGCGGTCTTGGCAACCGAGTTCAAGTCCAAGCTCGTCTCCTCCAGTAAGTTGAAGCTTGCCAAGAACCCCGTGATCATCAAGTTCAGGAACGAAAACTCCACACGGGAGGAGCTTTACAACATCAAGGTCGTCGGAGAGACCGAGGCCCCGTTGGCTGCCATGGATCGGTACCTCCGGACCATGGTTGACCCAAGCGACCCTGACGAAGCGCACTTCCCTCGCTGCGAGGTCTCTGTCGATGCCCTGAATGTCGTCCTCGGCCACAGCCCAAGGATGAACAATCAGATCACCGCCGTCGGCAAGGGTCGGTTCTTTCCGTGGGGTCCCGGCTCCGCTACGTCACGACTCGGCCAACAAGGTCCCCTCACAGCCATCAGAGGATTCTTTCAGAGCGTACGCCTTGGCACCGGTAGGACCTTATTAAACGTCAATGTCACTCATGGCGTCTTCAAGACCGATGTGCGGGTCAGCGAACTTTGCAAGTGGTTCGGCCTAGACGTATTCGGTACCGGGAACATCAACACGCACAACAACGCTCGAGCAACGTTGCGTACTTTGTCCAATTTCCTCGCTAAGACCCGCGTGACTGTTCAGTTCCGCACTGGAGACGGCAAGGACGTCACTACCAAGAGAGCGATCCACAGCCTTGCGTGCAAAAACGGACTCGCAAGTCCTCCTGTCGGCAGCCTCGTCTTTTTCTCCCAGGGCTTCGTCTATGGCGGCCCACGGGAGGTCAAGTTTCAGCTGGATCCAGCAGAGGGCCAGAAAACGGTCTTGGGCAAAAAGCCGCCGGGTGCGTATTCTGTCGAACAGTATTGGCAGTGGAAGTACGGACAGGCTCCGGATAAGAGCCTGCCTCTGGTCAATCTCGGCACGGCTAACAAGCCCATGTTCTTCCCGGCGGAGCGATGCCTCATTGCTGCGGGCCAGGCGGTTCGTTCCAAGCTCACTGGGGACGAGACTACGGTGATGCTTGACTTTGCCTGCCGCTCTCCCTTTGCCAACGCCATCTCGCTCGAGCGCGACAGCGCGGCGGCGCTAGGTCTTGATGAGTCGATACTTGGGGAGTTTGGCATCACGGTTGACAAGAGGCTATTGACCGTAGCTGCCCGCGAACTGCCCGCCCCCATGGTCACCTATGCCAGCGCTAAGAACCTGCAAAGTCGCGGCGGCTCTTGGAATATGACTGGCATAAAGTTTGCGAAGGCAGGCCCCAGAATCACCAACTGGAACTGGGTGCGCATCGCCGAAGGTGACAACCCAAGCATACCTATCGACGAGATTGCACGGTCCGTTCAGCAATTCGTGGAATTCCTCAACGCCAGTGGGGTCGCCGTTGAGACTCGAGCCCCGAATACCGCCCACCAGATTACCGTCGGCCGCAGCACCGCCGCCGAGGATATCAAGAGAGCTTTCGCGGCTATAGAGAGCTACACGACGAAGGCGAAGGGTAGCATTAAGGGCTTCTTCCTGCTTGTGATCTTGCCTAGGCATGACGCCACACTCTACGGCGCTGTCAAATCTCTCGCCGACGTCCAGTTTGGTTTTCACACCGTGTGCTCCGTGGAAAAGACGTTCATCAAGAATAACCTCCAGACTTTCGCCAACATTGGTCTCAAGTGGAACCTCAAGAATGGAGGCACCAACCATATAGTCAAGGATACAATCGACATTCTCACTTCAAATCAGGCCATGATTGTTGGCTACGATGTCACTCATCCGACGAACATGTCCAACGACAAAAGCTCAGCGCCCAGTCTGGTCGGCATGGTTGCCAGTGTTGACAAAGACTTGGGACAATGGCCGGCCGTTGCGTGGGAGCAGCCTTCTCGTCAAGAGATGCTCGGAGAGGAGCTCACAGAGAATTTCAAGTCTCGCCTCTTGCTATGGCGTCAGCGCAACCAAAGCAGACTCCCTCAGTTCATCATCATCTATCGCGACGGCGTCTCGGAAGGCCAATTCGCCCAGGTCCTCACAACCGAGCTGCCCATGATCCGCAAGGCGTGTGACCAGCTCTACCCGCCCAAGCAGCGTCCGAAACTCTCCATCATCGTATCCGTCAAACGTCATCAAACGCGTTTCTACCCCACGTCTGACCAGAACATGGACCAGAAGTCGCGCAATATCAAGAACGGCACAGTCGTCGACCGCGGTGTCACCCAGGCTCGTTACTGGGATTTCTTCTTGACTGCCCACACGGCTCTCAAGGGGACCGCCCGCCCTGCCCACTATACTGTGCTAATGGATGAAATCTTCAGGGAGAAGTACGGTGTGGGTAACTCAGCTGCGGACCAGTTAGAGAAGCTCACGCATAACCTCTGCTACCTTTTCGGCCGTGCCACCAAGGCGGTCAGTATTTGCCCACCGGCCTACTACGCAGACATCGTGTGTGAACGGGCTCGCGTTCATCGTCCGGCTCTTTTTGACGTTTCGGACGTGGCATCGACGACCACAAGCGCGTCCCAGCCCGTTGAACCTTCGAACAACGTTCAGGTGCATTCGAACTTGCGAGACACGATGTATTATATCTGATGGGTTTGCGGCGAGTGAAGCCTGGCGTGGAGGACGTTGGGCAAGGCTTTGTTGGTAACGTCTCGGTCTTTGCTTGACAGCAGTGGGCCCTGACGGGTCAAGGACATGAATTATTATTTTTGAAATGCAAATTACCACTGTTCAGAGGTGCAAATTGTCCGCTATGATAGCCACATGATCATCTAAGCACTGCATGTAAGCCACCTCGTAGGTAGCGTATTGTCATCTGGCACATTGCTATCGGTGAAAGCCCGCTGTATCACAACCATCATTCGTCGTCTGCGGTATCATCGCGGAATTCAACCCCAGAGTACTGCATGCCCTCCTTCATTCTGGAGACGGCCTGACTGATGA